TCGATGCCCATGGCCTTGCACAGTTGGTGCCGCTCCAGCTCCAGCCGTGTAGACAGGCTCTCGGGGACGTCGGGCGCATCCTCCAGGCTGAACAGCTTGAAGTGCACCCTCGCCAGCTGCACCTCGAGGTCCCGCACGCGATCGACGTCATCGTCGGCCGAGCCGTCGAAGCCCGCCTCCACGTTGAGCTTCCCGTCGCACTCGGCCTGGCCCGCGGCCGCCGCATCGTGATCGCCCGCCATGTGGGCGTCCACGACCGCAGCGGCACCGTCCTCCACCACCTGGGAGATGCCGCCTCCCTTCCCGTCGAGGCCCTCGAACTCCTTCCCGTTGAAGCTCGTCGTGGCCTCCTCGACGACGGCGTCGTAGAAGCCGTCGCCGTTGGCGCTGTCGGCGTGCCCGCCCTCCAGCTCCGTCCCGTCGTCGGGGCCCGTGGAGCCAGGGCCGTTGACCGTAGCGATGCCGTCGGCGTCGTACTTCTCCTCCGTCAGCGCCTCGGTGTCCAGCTCCTCCGAGCCGTACCCGAAACCCTGGCTGCAGTCACCCTCGGCCTCTAGCTCCCCGAAGCCGTCCAGGTCGAAGGACTGCGCAGCCTTGGCCGAGCCATCCCGCCACGCAAGCACACTCTTCAGGAAGCACTCCACGTCGCCTCCTGGGTGCCTGAGCAGCGCACTGGCCGCGTCCAGCTCGCGGCATCGCCGCTCGAGCGCCGGCGGGAGGCGCCGCCCGCGCGCCCGGAGCCCCCGAAGGCTCGCCGCCAGCGTGGGGCCCCCCAGGATGGCCACCATCTCGGCCGCCGCGCTGAGCAGCCTCTGCGCCCTCGCGCCCAAGGCGGGACGGGCTGCGCTGGCCGCCAGAGCCGCCTGCTGATCCCCAGCGGCCGCCGCCTCCTGCTCCTTCACCGCCGCCGAGCTGGCCGCCGCCTGCAGGCGCAGCATGAGCTCGGCAGCCTCGCTCACGGAAGCGACCGTGGCGAGAGAAGCCCCATGGCGAACGGACGGGCCACGGCCGCCGCGCCCCATTCGCCCGAGGAGAGAGCCGCGCGCGCCGAGGGCACGGCGCGGCCTGGCGCCCGCGAGAGCGCCCCGTGCAGGATCCAGCCCCCGCTGAACCCAAGAGCCAGAATGGCTACGGATTTCTCTCTTTCTCTCTCTCTCTCTCTCGCTCTCTCTCTCTCTCTTTCTCTTTCTCTCCCTCTCAGTCTCCCCTTGTTGTGATTAATTTCTTTGCTTGGACGCTTGGGCTACCCATTGGGGGATCCCGCTATGCCTTGTGTCTTCATCCGCCTGGGCGGGCAATTCTGGTAACCATGCAGCCCACTCCAGTGCAGACCATTCCCTTCCGGCGGGATGCACCGGTTTACGAATTCTCAGGCCTGCGGCTGGCGCAGGGGAGGGCAGTCACCATGAGCTTGCTTGTCGCACGTCTGCTCGCGGGTTGACCCCGCTTCGCCTAGCGACTCTTGGAGTCGCATGCCGGCTGAGGACGTGCAGTCGGAAGTTTGCTGGGTAGGGTTAAGTCGGGCCTGTCTCTCTAAATCGGGAAAACTCTAAAATAGTCAAACAATAATATGGGGACGATTTTTGGACCATTTTTGAATGCTTTTTGCATATTTTTGGGGTATTTTACATTTATCGTGAAAAATCCGCCTGCAGGGGAACACGCCCGACCTAATGGTAGGGGGAAAAGCAGCGTCCCCGTGGAAGGGGGCGCGACCCCTGAGACCGCGGGTTGAAGAAGTCGTATCGCATGAGGTCCAGACCTCCTCGCGCCGCGAAACATTCAGGACGCAATGCTTTCCCACATTGTCGCGGCCTCCGGGGGCCTTCGCCGGGCCTCGGGACCGCCGGAGAGAGCAACCCGAGATGAGAAGCCAGACCCTGGGAAGGGGTCGACGACGACGACGAGGACGACGACGTCGACGACGGCGACGTCGGTTGGCCTGGGGAGGGAGGCAGGCGGCGCGGCTCCTGTCGATCCGACCGATCTGGTCTGGTGTCCGTTCTGGCCCGCTCGATCTCATTCGATCCCGACGTTGTGACGGCCCAGCCTGCTTCGATCCCGTTTCGGTTCCGCTCTTCTGACGTTCCGGTGCGACCCGATTAGTTTTGGCCCGCTCGATCCCATTCGGCTCCGACGCTCCGACGACCCGATGCGGCCCGATCCGTCTTGGCCCGATCCGTCTTGGCCCGATATGTCGGATCCCGACGGTATCCATGAACACTTGACGCAATGTGACAAGCCGACAAGCCTGGCCCAAGCAGAAGGCACGACACAGACTGGAGAGGACGATCCGGAGTACCAGGTGCACATGACAACATCAGATTACCAAGTGATCGAAGAATTGGAAACACAAGGTACGTGGGAGAAAGTCGTGGGCCCAATGGTTGGGGACGTTTTGGAGGTTTGCAAAGAATTCACTTCCGACGAAGCTTCCTGCAGGGTTGTATTGAAGCCAGAGGTCCGTGGCAAAATCGAGGAAATCGATGACGACGGCGACATGAAGGTATTATTTCCGAGCTTATTCAAGAACAACCTTCCTCGATGGTTTGGCACGCGTTGGGTCTGTCAGCATCATTTTGGTTACCTCAAAAAGCGTACGAAGCCAGAAACGTAAGCTATTGCAGAGCATTCAGCAGAACAGGGAAGAGCTGAAGTCGAACAAGAATACCATCGAGAACTGAGTCCCGGCGCTCCGGCGCCCCCGCTGCGCTCTTAGAGGGCCGCGCCCCGGCGCGTACTGCAGCGTCAGTCCGTCCGTCCGTCCGCTCGACTCCTGATTGTTGATGCTGGTGATGCAGAGAGCCTCCCCGCGCAGCAGGCGGCGCTCAATCTGTCCGCAGAGATCGGGCTGAAGGCCACCACGGGCGCGGAGGGCGCAGGCGACGGGGAGGGAAGTCGTGCCCCGGCAGGGTCTTCGCGTCCTGCTGCAGCGGCCCAGGCCCGCAGGGCAGGGCCGCACTCGCAGGCTTCGCGCTCTCACGGGGTGTTTTGTTCTTGCTGTTGCTGTTGCTGTTGCTGATGCTGTTGTTGTTGCTGTTGCTGTTGCCGTCGTTGTTGTTGTTGTTGTTGTTGTTCTTGTTGTTGTTGGTGTTGTTGTTGTTGTTGTTATTGTTGTTGTTAATGATGTTGTTGTTGTTGTTAATGTTGTTGTTGCTGCTGTTGTAGTTGTCGCTTTTGTTGTGGTTAATATCGTTGTTGTGGGTGTTGCTGTTGTTGTTGTTGTTGCTGCTGTTGCTGTTGTTGCTGCTGTTGCTGTTGTTGTTGCTGCTGTTGTTGTTGTTGCTGTTGTTGTTGTTGTTGTTGTTTGTTGTTGTTGTGATTGTTGTTGTGAATGCTGTTGTTGCTGTTGGTGTGGTTGCTGTTGTTGTTGTCGTGGCTGTTATGGTTGTTGTGTTTGTTGCTGTTGCTGTTGCTGTTGTTGTTGCTGCAGTTGTTGTTGTTGTTATTGCTGTTGTTGTTGGTGTTGTTGGTGTTGTTGTTGTTGTCGTTAATGTTGTTGTTGTGGCTGTTGTTGTTGTTGTTGTTGCTGCTGTTGTTGCTGTGGTGGTTGTTGTTGTTCTTGTTGCCGAGCTTTCATTTCTGAAGGATAGTTTTTGTTGATCCCCCCCGCCTGGTGCACATTCTATTTTTCGATTGAAGTGCCCCTCCCGGGGCCCGCACCTGGTTTTTTTGCAGGGAAAGTCTTGAGGGTCCAACTGTGTCGTTGGCTCCCGGTTTACAACAACAGCGGTTCCCGCTTGATAATTTCTCACAAAGTACCTATACGACCACCCTTCGGGTGATCAGGAGTTGAGGGGGGAGAAGAAACCAACGTCTCACTCAATCGATCCCACAATCGATCCCACAATCCATTTCACAATCGATCTCACTTGATCGATCTCACTCGATCGATCTCGCTATCGATCCCACTATCCATCTCACTATCGATCTCACTCGATCGATCTCACTATCGATCTCACAAGCAATTTCGTTACCGGTCTCACGATCAATCTCACTATCGATCTCACTATCGATCTCACTGTCGATCTCACCACGGGACACCATGGGACAACGACGGGACACCAGCGGGACACCAGCGGGACAACAGCGGGACACCGGCGAGACACCGCGCGCCACCGGTTGCCGGGCGGAGAACCTTTTGGTCCGGCCGCGGCCCAGCCACGACGGGACACCAGCGGGACACCAGCGGGACACCAGCGGGAAACTGGCGGGACACCGCGCGCCACCGGTTGCCGGGCGGAGAACCTTTTGGTCCAGCCGCGACCCAGCCACAGGAGAATTTCTTTTCCCCCGCCCACGCAGCTTCGCCTCGCCCGCACGCACGGCACGAACACGAAACCGAGATCGATTTCCCGATGGGGGCACTCCGTTCCATTTCGATCTCACCCCGTCACCTCTCATTGAAGAATCGCGCTCTCGCTTGGGACTTCCTGGCAATTTACCACCGAATCGCGACTCCCGCCTGATACCTCCTCACACTTTATTGCAGAATCGCGTTTTCGATTGGGACTTCCTCGCAACTTACCACCGAACCGCTTCGCTTAAGATTTCCTTGCAATTTGTTATGATGCCGCTCCTTTGCACTCAGGAATCGCGCTCCCGCTACATATTGCCTGGCGGTTCAAGCAGGATCCACGCTTCAACGACCCGCCCGCAAGACCCGCCCGTCGGGACCTGCCCGCCAAACCAGCCCGTTAATGACTGCAGTCGCCGCTCGCTGCCCTTCGCCCGCCTTCGATGCCCCTCGCTGCCCGTCCTGGTTCCACGGTCGCCTTTTCTCGCTGCCCTTCGTGGCCCTGTTGCTGCCCTCAGTGGCCCCGTCGCTGCCCCTTGTGGCCCCGCATTCCCCTTCGTGGCCCCTGCTCGCACGCGCCCGTCGTGGCCCCATACGCATGCTCTTCGTAGCTCCGCTGTCGCCCTTCGTGGCCCCTTGCTGCCCTTCGTGGCCCCTTTGCTGCCCTCAGTGGCCCCGCTGTCGCCCTGTGTGGCCCCGTATACGAATGCCCTTCGTGGCCCCCGCTCGCTCGTGCTCGTCGTGGCCCCATATGCATGCCCTTCGTGGCCCCGCTGTCGCCCTTTGTGGCCCCCTCGCTGCCCCTCGTGGCCCCTTTGCTGTCCTCAGCGGCCCCATCGCTGCCCTCTGTGGCCTCGGATTTTATGTCCTTCGTGGCCCGCGCTCGCTCGCGCCCTTTGTGGTCCCATACGTATGCCCTTCGTGGCCCCACTGTCGCCCTTTGTGGCCCCTTCGCTGCCCTTCGTGGCCCCGTTGCTGCCCTCAGTGGCCCTGTCGCTGCCCCTTGTGGCCCTGCATTATATGTCCTTCGTGGCCCCCGCTCGCACGCGCCCGTCGTGGCCCCATACGCATGCTCTTCGTAGCCCCGCTGTCGCCGTTCGTGGCCCCCTCGCTGCCCTTCGTGGCCCTTTTGCTGCCCTCAGTGGCCCCGCTGTCGCCCATCGTGGCCCCTCCCTGCCTCTCCGAGTTTTTGATTTTGCAGCATGTGCCGGCATGTGCGTTTATATTTCGAGTTGTTCTAGACTGTGCATCCGACTGTGCATTGATTTGTGCGACAGGTGCGCGCATGTGCGGCAATGCTATTGAGGCCCTTTCGGAGTCGCATAGGCATCTGCATGCGACTCTGCGGCATGTACGAGCATGTGCGGCCCCTTCAGGATCTCAATTGGAAAGTGAGCACTGTAGACGTGAGCGATATAGAAATGAGTCCTGTGTACTGTCCACCTGTGTTGGAATGGCCGGCGCAAGCCATGGCGGAAACTTTCGCGCAACTCGCGGCGCAAATCGTCGTCCTTCCTCCCTGGTGGCCCTCCATTCGTCCCTCCCTTCTTCTGATCCATCCGTTTTCATTATCCCCCTTTCTCATTCCTGCTGCGTTTTCTTGTTTGGTGGCCTTTCCAACTACACGTGGCAGGGAATCTATATATATATATACAGGCTGGGTTTTCTAAACTGTGTTGTGTGTTCTCGCTGGGCGCTAGATGGAGCCCCCAGAGTCCAGCCAGTCCGTGTGAAGCAAGAATGTCTGGAATTCAGGTGACGGAGCTCACTCCGCATCCATTTCCGCTCAAGCTCTTTTCAGGCGGCCGTGCATGATTTCCAACGTCTTGAGTGTTTTCGGCCGCGGCGCGGGCTTTATCAGTTCGCGGGCCGCGGAGTTCGCTCTGGCTTGGGTGCCAACGATAGTGGAGCAGCTGGGGACAGCGCCCGACTGTGTGCTCGTGGGCCGCGTCTTTTGCGGCTTGGGCCCGCTGGGCGTGCTGCTGCTCGCAGTCGGGCTGGTGGTCGGTTTCGCCTTCGGGAGCTGCTGCGCCACCTGCTGCAGCCATGTCTGCGAGCGCCGCCTTGCGGCGGGGAGTGCGGGTGGCCGTCTTGTGGTCCGTGGGCGACCCATGGCAGATTCGTCCCCTGCTCGCAGAGGCCGCCGCCGGCGTCGTGAAGCAGGATCTGGGAGTGGATCCGACACCAGATCAGATGAAGGAGAAACGAACGCGGATGTGCCTCACTCCCGACGGGGACATCTACGCACAACTACTGGACGTGCCGTTTCTCGCGGGGATCGCGGTCTTCGGGTCGACGGGCGACGTCGTGGAGGCGCGCGGCAAGACCTGCCGGATGTCGAGCAAGACGTACGGCAGCGAGTGGATGCCGGACCCCCTGGAGTTCTCCGACGCCGCGACGGAGGCCGAGCGGGCGGGGGGGCACTCCGCCGCCCGTCGCCTTCGCGGCAAGCAGGCGCTACCAACGGGGGGTCCGGCAGCTGGGGATTCGACGGTGATTCCGCTTTAGGTCGTCTTGGAGTTCGACAGCCTCAGGGACGTGAAGCCGTGCTTCTGGCGGGTGCTCGCGGCCTCGATCGGAGGCGACCCCCACGCACAAGGTGCTGAGCGGCTCGGCGGTGGACTGGGCCCTAGTGACCGAGCTGTTCGCCCTCGCGATGCGGGGGACGGAGATGCTGGTGTTGAAGAAGGTGGACTCCGCCACGGACGGGAGTTCGGAGCTGGACGCCCGCGTGCTGCCTGTCGAGGAGGACGCCCGCGGGAACCGCCGGCGGGACTTCCGGACGGCGGTCGACGCCATGACGGAGACCGCCTGGCCCGGGTGGCCCGTGCTGAGGCCTCGCACCATGCAGTGGGTGCTCCAGTTGATTCGGGAGCAGGGCGCGATCCTCCGGGCCAGGCGCACGAAGTGGAAGCACGAGGCGCGCCTGGCCCGGGGGGACCCCGGCGTCGGCGACCACGAGCTGGTGATGCGAGTGATCGAGACAGCGGTGGTCTACGACCAGTTGAATATCACAGAGTTGGCATGCTTTGAGATCTTGCGCCGTCGAGCTCAACTGTCAGAATGGCGGCGTTAGGACCGACTGACTGGTGGGGCTAGCGGCGTGGGCGACGAGTACGCGGACAAGGAGCACCTGCACGTGGGGTCTGGGGAGACGCGGGGCCACGTCATGGTGGCCCCGGTTTTGCAGGAGCACATATTGTCAGAAGTACATCGTGAACATCTGATCATGAAGGAGAGTCGGAAGTTGAAGGAAGAACAGTTGATTGCACGGGGAGCTCCGCAGCAGTTGGGCAGTGGCAGTTCGACAGCGGATCTCCAGCGGAAGGTTCAAGCGCAGGCTGAGGAGTTGAAGAGGCTGCAGGTGCGGACGTCGCCCCACACGGACCTGAAGAAGGGCGAGGGGGGCGACCGCGGCGGCGGCCTGGGCAGCTGACCTTCTCGTGTGGATGCCTGTGCCCCGAGAGCTCCTCCCCCTTCCAGTGGGGGGGCCGGGGGCGCACTCGGCGCGGCCGCAGGGGGTCTCCCACTCCGTGCGGTCACGCCTCCGCCGAACAGTTTTTCGTCAGGACTGGGGGAACGAGA